ATAATAATAATAATAATATAATATAATAATAATAATAATAAAATCTTTATGACTTGTAATTCTCTGTAAGCACGCAAGCTAAAGACCATATTTGGTGCGTTTCACCAATGCTCAGGTATGGGCGGGCGGCGGGGTGTGATGAAGATCTCCCAAGTCCTACAACTTTATCGTTTAACACATAAAGAATGGACAATACTTGTTAGGTTTTTTTGCTTGTTCATTCTGCCAGATTCTTATTTATTTAATTATTTTTAGAAGGCGAACGCAAGTCTCAATCCAACGAAAACTAGCAACACGAAAAGAAGTAAGTCCAAACTACCTAGACCCGAAACAATGGACTACATTTGTGAAGTAGCTGCAGCGATTGGATGCCCAGCTCCATGGACAACATTTTAACGATTAATATATCCATAAGAAAAATGTTAAGAGAATATGAATAAAGACTGAGAAAGAATGTTTGRACTGAATGACCTTGTTGCATTTTGATTAAAATGTATATGTTTTGCTTGTGAAGAGTTATTATTATCAAATAGAGTTATTAATATTAAAGCTAACAATTAGCACGGTGTGACTGTTGCGCAATATAGACTTGTGCATGCTCAGATAACATCCACAGTCTTTGTCGCATTACCGTATAATATAAACATATTCTGCTGACACTTTGTTGGGTCGTGTAAATAAAGTCAATTCTACTTCCCACAGCCCTGCAAAGCAATCAATGTAGCAACTGAAATCACCTTTTTCTTCTTTTGTCTGAGTAACAAGGTGGGTTTTCATTAAGCCAATCGGAAAACTGTGCAGACGTAATACAGACCCACTGAAAGAAAAGTCTCAATAAGCCGAAATAGCGGCGTGTCTAACACGATTACGCATGCTCAGATTACTAAATCACATAGTCCAGTGAGAAAAGTTAACGACTCGTTTAGCGTTTGATTCTTCTCAAACCCCAACCCCTTACTGCTCTATACCCTCCTCAAGACGATGGGCTCTAGGCAAGAAATGTAACCACCTTATTTCGGTTGCACCTTCATCGTTCCTTGCTGTTGTAGTTTTAAGACTGGTGCCTTTCTGTTTGTTTAATTACCCCTGTTTACGGTGTTCTGCAAACCCGCTTATTATAACTTGCTTTACAAAATAACTGTTATRAATGTCGAGTTCTGATTGGTTGAGTGTTCTGTCAATCCCCAAATGCTTTATAACTCAGCACAGAATTCAAATTACAAAAGATTATTTTAGATAGGAATGACGCAAGTTAAAATGTGCGTGCGTGCTGTGTGCTCTCATAAAGCAAGCGCTACCAACCAATCAGAACGCAAGACTTATAACTTAAAACAGTTATTTTATAAACGGCGTTATTTACTGGTTTTATATATTCGCAAACGACTTTGCTGAAAATAAAGTAATTATAAGGAAAAGGAAGGTAAATTTGAAAAAGTTATAGTTATTTCATTATAAGAGTTTCTTTCTGGTGCTTAATTCCATTTGAGGGGGGAGGGGTGGGGAAGGGGTTGTATTAATAGCAGCCGTTCAAAACTCTTTGAAGTCTTAACATGCACTCGATTCAGAACATGTTATATAGTCAATAAAGATTATTGTTATCATCATTATTATTATTATTATTATTATTATTTTATTATTATTATTTATTTATTTATTTATTTTGATTATATTTATCAATTGATTCTTTGTTTTTGTTAATTTTTTTTTACACTTGCATCAGGAGCAAAGACAAACACACGCGTAGTTAAAGACACGTAAAGAGCAAAGTACTCTTTATTGAATGTTTTCGCTCCAGCCGTGGTTCCGGTTTTGGATACATTTTGGAAGTTCCACCGCCTACATGACTATCATTGAATTGTACATATAAAAAAGGAGTAAGAGGCCTTTTAGAGCTAGTGAGGTAGGAGTTTATATTCCACAGCTGGTGAAAACATTATGCTCAGTGGGTGCCTAACTTACGTTGAAAAAGAGGACGTTTTTAATAGCGCATCTTGACATRCGGCCGGGAACTTGATTTTAGGAAGACGTTTCAAATGAGACGTCTAACTTATGTTCATTATACAAATTGACTCCCAACTTAGTAAGAGAGTTATATAAAGGAGAGACAGAGTTGAATTTGTGAGGTTGACACAAGAGGTACGTAAACCATGAAGGTTYACACACGGATAATTGCTGCTGTTTTCATGTTCATGTTGCTGGTGCACGAAGGACAACAAATAAGTGTCGCCATGAAGGTAGTGTATTATTTTATTGTTCTAGTAATCTTTATGATTCGTTATCTCTGTAAGCGGGATCGCTGCTCATTATTTCATACTCAGCAGGCTAAATAAAGACCATATTATATGTTCACGATATATCATGTTCACGATAACTTTCTAAAAAAGAAACGTTTCAAGGAAAACGTCATGTTCATCATACAAATTGACTTCCAACTTAGTAAGAGAGTTATATAAAGGGTTTAAGACGCGACAGAGTTGAATTTGTGAGGTTGACACAAGGGGTACGTAAAGCAKGAAGGTTCACACACGGATAGTTGCGTGCTGTTTTCATGTTCATGTTACTAATGAATATTTTCGAAATTTAAAAGAAATTGATTGTATTTAAGTAGAGTGAACGATATCTATTTTTTAAATTCTTCAAGAAGTTTAGAGATACTCGTCGAGATACTGCAGTACTTTAGAGCACTTTCAGGTTCAGGACACATCCTACAACTGACCACTTTTATTTGCCAAATTARCCGAACATGTCTTCATCAAATTTCAAAGCAACACCTTAGTATAGACTCTTCCACAGTCTCTCGCTCGTCCGTTCCGTCTCCACGCTTAGAGACTGTAACGGTACAATGACCGAAAGGACTTATGGGTCCCGAAAACTTGGACCCAGCGTGCTTTGGGAACCAAAATACTCGTCCACAGTCTCTCTCGTTTCAATATTTTCAAGATGGCGGCGAAAACGAGAGACTGTGGACGAGTATTTTGGTTCCCAAAGCACGCTGGGTCCAAGTTTTCGGGACCCATAAGTCCTTTAGGTCATTGTACCGTTACAGTCTCTAAGCGTGGAGACGGAACGGACGAGCGAGAGACTGTGGAAGAGTCTACACCTTAGTATTGGTAATAGCAGAAGTATCAGTTGAAACCAAAGAAAACAATATTAAGCTCGAAAAGGCACTTGCGATAACCCTGGATTCTCCTCTGATAAATTGCTTGTTTTTTTTAGTTGATGACTGGCACAACTTCAAGGCCTTCACTGAGCATTACCAAGATGAAAAGAATGAATTCAAGAATACACAGGCCAGAAACAATGGACTACATTTGTGAAGCAGCCACAGCGATTGGATGCCCAGCTCCATGGACAAGTGAACGATCTTAACGATAAATAATTCCGTAATACAAATGTTCAGAAAATATGAATAAAGACTGAGAAAGAATGTTTGAGCTGATTGACCTTGTTATAACTTTATAAACATGTTTTAAATGTTCTGCCTGTAAAGGTYCAGTTATCTATATTAAGAAACACAGTAAGGTAAGATAAAGGTAAAGTTAAGGTAAAGCTTTGTTTATACACCTTGAATGGGCCAAGAATTGCCGAATRCCGCAAGTGATCTGGCTTTCTGAGACATGTACATATTGCATAATTCAGCTGACATTTTTGTTTGTAGTTAGTTAAGTATGTGTGTATCAGGGATAGGGCATCCGCCGTGATACTATATAGTTCTAGCTTGCGCAGTAGAACACTGTGATTAACTCTTTCAAAAACCTTTTTTATGTTCAAGAACACAACCAGATTAAACTTTTTTCTATCCATATTAAAATACCAGCTGTTTGCGCTAATCCAAGAGAGCCGAAGCAGTCGGGTTAATGCACAGTGAGCAAAGTTTTAGCCTTGAGGTATTTGTATTTACCATTATTTTTCCTATAACTGGAAAAATAGTATTCAGCGCCTCCAATTATCTGGTGCATTTCTTAACCCTTTTTAAAAAAGAGGCAAGAACCTTGCCACTTTCCACTCGTTTGAAAAACAGCTCGAAGTAATGGCATTATTGAAGTTATGTGTATAAGAGATGGAGAAATAGCAGGAGCTTCGACCTTTGATATTTTTCAAGAGATTTTGTCAATGCTTGTGGCCTTTGAACTTGAAAGGCTATTTTGCCCGCGTTAGATACCGGCTTAAAGCATGACATATTGGACAGACAAGTAGAGTTGGCCAAATTTGGACCAATGTTGGAAAAATAAGTATTGAAAGCATCGACAATTTCACCAGGAGAAAGAATTGAGTATTTTTCAGTATCATTAACCTTCAGTAATATTACTTGGAGTACGTCCAAGCAGATCTTTAATCAACTCTTTAGGATTATTCTTTAGGGGTATTCAACACGAGTATAGTATAGACCAGAACCTTCGGGTATTCAACACGAGTATAGTATAGACCAGAACCTT